GCTAGTATCACTCAGCCCTCTGTGAACAGTAAACAGCCATCAGTGTGCTAATGATCCATTGTTAGGCTGATGGTCCTTCTTGAGCATGTGATCAGCTGGTTTTGGTTGTCAGCAGCAAACTGGTTGATCCACTCTGAGACGGTGCTATTTAAGAGGCTGAGCTGAATACAGCTCCTCAGACTGAGGAAGTCTCTCGGATGAGAGACGAAACGTTTCTACATTTTTTGTTGATTTGCTTTGTTTTGTTTTTTTGAATGTCCAGAGGACCAGATTTAACTTTTTTAGATTTTTCTACCTGGATTATTGAGCATGCATCAGGATATCTCAACAACCTAGTTCCATCTTGTATTACAGATCTTATTGTTCCACATTTTCTTAACAGAGCACTTCGCTCTCAGGCTGCAGGTTTACTTGTGGTTCCTAGAGATTACAAAAACAGAATGGGAGGCAGAGCTTTCTGTTATCAGGTTCCCCTCTTGTGGAACCAACTTCCAATCTCTGTCTGTGAGGCTGACACATTATCCAGTTTTAAGACTAGGCTTAAGACTTACCTTTTTGCTAAATCGTATAGTTAGGGTCGGTTTGGGTTTCCTGAGCTGTCCCTTAATTATGCTGCTATAGGCTTAGACTGCTGGAGGACAAACTGATCACACTTTTCACTCTGCTACTGTCTTTACTTACTCTGCTCAACCTGTTTTGTATTTGTAATTATTTTTTTCCATCTCAACATGTGGGTTTTTTTTGTCTTTCAAATACACCTGGACCTATATCTGGATGTATTGTTATGTTTGTTTGTCTCTCCTTTCTGTCCTCTCAAACCATCCGGTCAAAGCAGATGGCCACTTGTTCTGAGCCCGGTTCTGAGCCTGGTTCTGCTGGAGGTTTCTTCCTTTTTAAAGGGAGTTTTTCCTTTCCACTGTTGCCATTGTGCTTGCTCAGGATGGAAGACTGCAAAAAAGCCAATATTCAACTTGTCTGCTGGCTTCCTTAGATAGAGAACTTTACTAATTGGCTTTTCTATGTATGTGAATGCTCCTGTAAAGTGCCCTAATACAACTTTGTTGTGATTTGATGCTATAAAAATAAACTGAATTGAAATGAATTGAATTAGCTCCTGAAAGTAATCCTTCCATCTTCCAGTCACACTTTCCTCACTTGTTAAGACATTACCATTCCTATCTTTAACAAGCCTAACGTGCTGCACATCCTTTCCAGCCTGATCCCTCTGTCTTGCCAATCAGTACAAGTCCTTCTTTAGTGTCCAGCCTCCCATACAATTCATCATATGCCTTCTGCTTTTGCTTAGATACCTCCCTTTTTGATCCTTGTCCAATCTCCTTATATTCCTGTTTCCTCTTTTCAG